ATTTTTTTCTTTTTAATTGGTAAATGAGTATGAAACCTGCTCGGTCAAGGAATCTTCTAAGCTATAAATCTCTGTGTAATTAATTACAGATTGCACAGTAGTTATGTGTGTAATTACACAATATATGTTTTGTTGATGTAAACTACAAATCACACGTACTAAGGCGAAGCAGCGGCGCCAGTGTAATCATGTCTCACAGACGAGCTCATTTCGAGACGGTGTTCAAAACTACCGAAACCCAAAAGAAGCAGCAGACGTTTGTTTTAAGTTTAAAATGCATAGTCTATGTTGTGGAAAAGTCTCATAGTTTCACTGATGTTTCTATTCTGATATATTTAAATAACTGGTAGAGTATAGAATGGCTAATAGTTACTTAGGGTAAAGTAACCATATAGATGTGTACTAAACAGCTACTTGGGGTAAAGTAACTGTTACGTATCTGCTTGTTTGTTAATTTCCGGTATAAAGTATTTCCGAAGAACTTCAGCGATACAAGTTCCTTCTTGATTAAAACTAGTTTATTCTTTCTCGATACAAACTTTGTAGTACACAGAATTCCACAGTCAATACGTCTCTCGTCACTTTAAACTTAACAACTTTTATAATACACGCTATAAATCACAGTGATTTACACACTTTACTTACCGTCACTACTGTTAGCTTCTTTAATTATCTATATCTATCTATATCGCTGGCTTTCTTTGACAGGCTTATATACTAAAAAAGAGGGCGTCTAGCAAACACTCGGACATTCGCGGGGTTCTCTAATAATTCGAGAAACTCCAGCATGCATCATCCCAGCGTCATGCGACTTCCGCTGTTGTAACATAACCTTATAGATGTATACTAAACAGCTACTTAGGGTAAAGTAATCATGTAGATGTGTGCTAAACAGGGACTGATGATAAAGTAACATACGTTATGTTTAAACAAATGTTTTCCAGGGTGTGATCATTGATTTGGTGTAAAGCGCATGATTAACATAGTCATTACAGAATGAAAACAACTTTCTTCATCCAAGACATATGTACTCCAATAAAGACTTAAGCATTTAACATTTCACACTTATAATTTTATTCAACTTCATCATAAGCTATGCTTTACGTAGGTAAAAACGGTCACTGCATTCATTCATTTTCATTGTTTCAAAGAGACAATTGTTTCTACCTGCTAGAAACCATCCTTTGATTCTTTACGTTTGTTCTGGCTTCCACATACTGATAGGTTGAAATAGATTATGAGAGCAGGTCTAAGATTGTTTTTTAGCGCTTGTGATAGCTTTTCTGAAGAACGTGTAATGCAATCCTGCCTGTGTAATTCATTTATTAGTTTTAAACGGTTAGTGGAGTTTACACTGAGATGGTTGCAATGAAAGAGTTGTCTGATCTACATGGATGTCATTCTGGTGTTTCGCTACAAGTTTAATTAACTGCCGAGAATTAGGAAATGATTCTTCAGTGGGTAAAGAAAGCAGGCTTGAAACTGAAGTCATTAACTGAGTATACTCATGTCTATTCATGTAGAATTTCTTGGTCATATTGTTTATAGGAGCAGAGTGTCTACAGATTATGTGAAAATTGCAGTGGTCAAGAACTGTCTCCAGCCTTCTGTGAGATTTCTGCAGCTTCCTAGGTTTCACATTATGTTACTGACCTTTGTGGTCAACTTATTCAAGACAAGATGGTATCATTATTGGCTGCTCTGACTGAAACTGAAATACATTTTATGTGTACTAAGGGCTGTTACCAAGCATTTCAGTCATAAAAGAGTACCTTAGTTTAGGCTCCAGTGTTAGCTTATTCCAGATAAGACTGTTTGTTCATACTGGATACTCTGGGTGATGTTGAAATTGGAGCAGTACTGTTATAGGTGCATGATGGAGTAAAGTGTGTAAAATCTACACGGACCAAGGAGCTAATTTCAGCAGCTAGTTGTTCACAGAGTTGTGCAGGATGTTGGTGTTGTGAAGATGTATACTGCTTCACCATTGTTCAAAGTCCAATGGTTTATCATAATGGATTATTCAGATTGTGAATCATCACAACATAACTGATTGGGAGAGCCTCCTGCTATGTTTGATGATGATATATAAAGAAACAGAGGAAAGGTCGACTGGCTGCTCACCAAACTTGATGTGTGGATGAAATACAGCTCCCAGTGGATGTGGTGTATGATCTACCTCCCACAGCAGATATACTACAGTTTCTTCAAAAATATGTGGAGTAGTTGATGTAATGAGTGTAAAGTTACCATACATAAAATATATGCTATGACAATACAGTAAAGGAACAAAAGTTCTAGTATTGAGACTGAGTGGCATTGAAGTAAGTTGGTTCGAGATATACTGGTTCTTGTTTTGTTCTGAAACAGCTTAATCTATCAAACTACAAGTTATAGTGATCAAGTGACACACAAAATTGTTTCAAATAGGTGATAAGCTGAATATACATAATACTAATGACCCTCTCATGCACTGGATGGATCAGGAATCACAGAGAGAGAGAGAGTTGGGTTACAGAACAGTAGAATATTGCATGTAGACCTAGGTAAAAGAACAATAGATTATTGCTTGTATAGCCTCAACTTGCTGAGAAAGAAGATGCTGGCAGCACATATCAGATGACCTACAAAAAAGTCAAATGAGGAAGCAGTTGGCTGAGAAATAGGTGTCAGCCTCCTAATTTTTATGGCTGGATTTAACTGTTTGACCAGCAGTGAGGATGGGCAGTGTATCGAAGAATCAATGGCTGAAAATGGGTTATACCACTTATTAATTTTTTGAAATTGAGTGACTATGGACAGTGTTATGATGTCTTGTGATAATAACCCAATCTATCTAGTAAGCTGAAATGTTGTTTCTGATGTGATGTTTATTGGTGAAACACAGCTAGGACAACTATTGCTGTTAGATGTGATGTTTACTAGTGAAACACAGCTGGAACAACTATTACTCTTAGATATGGTGTTTACTAATGAAACACAGCTAGGACAAATATTGCTGTTAGGTGTAATGTTTATTGGTGAAACATAGCTAGGACAACTATTACTGTTAGATGTGATGTTTATTGGTGAAACACAGCTAGGACAACTATTACTGTTAGATATGATGCTTACTAATGAAACACAGCTAGGACAACTATTACTGTTAGATATGATGCTTACTAATGAAACATAGTTTGGACAACTATTACTGTTAGATATGATGCTTACTAATGAAACATAGTTTGGACAACTATTACTGTTAGATGTGATGCTTACTAGTGAAACACAGCTAGGACAAATATTGCTATTAGGTGTAATGTTTATTGGTGAAGCACAGCTAGGACAACTATTACTGTTAGATGTGATGTTTATTGGTGAAACACAGCTAGGACAACTATTACTGTTAGATGTGATGTTTATTGGTGAAACACAGCTAGGACAACTATTACTGTTAGATGTGATGTTTATTGGTGAAACACAGCTAGAACAACTATTACTGTTAGATGTGATGCTTACTAATGAAACATAGTTAGGACAACTATTACTGTTAGATATGATGCTTACTAATGAAACACAGCTAGGACAAATATTGCTGTTAGGTGTAATGTTTATTGGTGAAACATAGTTAGGACAACTATTACTGTTAGATGTGATGTTTATTGGTGAAACACAGCTAGAACAACTATTACTGTTAGATATGATGCTTACTAATGAAACACAGCTAGGACAACTATTACTGTTAGATATGAGGCTTACTAATGAAACATAGTTAGGATAACTATTACTGTTAGATGTGATGCTTACTAGTGAAACACAGCTAGGACAAATATTGCTGTTAGGTGTAATGTTTATTGGTGAAACATAGTTAGGACAACTATTACTGTTTAATGGCATTAACAGCTGAAATGGTTGAAAATGATTGTTGGGAATTCTAATGTATCTGTAGGTTGCAATGACATTGTAATCCTTATTTTCTGAAGAGCACCTGAGAAAGCTTGGGCATGTACATGACTTCCGAATGTACACTGAAGTAGTTCTGCTGTTCTTCAGCATAGGAATGTATCCAGGCTGTGATGAAATGGAGTGGAAAAAATCCTTGTTTTACGAGATTGTGACATTATTTTTTTCTTGGTGATTCCAACTATAGATTATAGTGTGATCATCGACTCATAGGTTGTATTAGAGTAGTGAATACTAGTCCGGGACGTGTGAATTATAACCAAAACGTCTTGGTTCTGCTTGTAATACATACTATATTTCATAATACCAAAAGTTGGGTTTACTGAGTATAACCAGCTGGATTAGTGGTTAATTAAGCATGGGTGCCATACCTAGAACATTGGATGGTCAGTTTATACTATAACTATAATGGAATAACTTAATATGTAATGTGGATACTCACATTTATATGCGGTGTTACACATGTATAACGACATCAAATATGAATTTGTTAATCTATATTGTATTACATGCATCATAACTTATCCAGAGAGCACATTTGTCATGTAATACAAAACATTTGTCGGAATGACGAGATGTCGACGTATGAAGAAGGCTGTGATTATTATTGCATTACCACATCAAAGGAAAATATTGTGTTATCTAATTTTCTCATTGATGTTAGTGAAATAACGTTTATCTTTTTAGAATATTTGAAGGCTCACTGATTTTACACTGTATGAAAGAAACAGGTTGGCATACATTACATTAAAGGAAAGCGTAGTGTTACCTGATGTAACCATTAATACTAGTGAAGAATACGTTATGTTTCGCAGAACTGGAATATATATATAAGCAAGTTAGTTCACCTTTTGAAATGAACTCTGAAAAAGGCCGTTTACTTAATAAAGGCCAACAGTCTTTACATGTAGTCTATTTAAAGAATATACAATGAAATAATAAATTAACAAAATGAACTCAAGATACAAAAAAGTTCGTATCTTAGAAAAATTATTTAAAGTTAGAAACAAATGTGGTTACGTTTTATCGGAATTTGTGTATTTGGTCCGATCTCTCAGATTCATCTACCGACTCATCGACGAGTTTCACCGACTTCCACGCTACAAGACATCCTCAACTCAAGCCCCACATCATCTCCGTGCTACTCTGACGAGTTTCACCGACTTCCACGCTACAAGACATCCTCAACTCAAGCCCCACATCATCTCCGTGCTACTCTGACGAGTTTCACCGACTTCCACGCTACAAGACATCCTCAACTCAAGCCCCACATCATCTCCGTGCTACTCTTCTCTTCTTCTCTTCTCTAGCGTTGAATCTTGTTAGCAGCTCATGAGGGGTATTTCGTCGCTTTTCCGGACAGCTTGAGGTAACAAGTCGCGTGAAAATTATTTGACCTCCAAAAGTCAAGAAGTTCAATACATTTTTTGTTACAGCTCCTATCATCTGGCCACAAAGTGGGGTGAAGAGAAGCAGAGGTTTCTGAACGCCCCTGGTTATCTTTCAGGCCCCGGAGAGATGCTTAACCAAAATATCCACCACGGAACGGATTGGATTACAGTTTATGTATTTTATGAAGGTGAAGTATAACTAATCAAACATTGTTATTGGTTTGGATATGTTCAACTGTTTGGAATTACAACTTTAAGGTTCTTCTGAATATATTTTTAATATTTAGTTTTGTACAAGTTCCAGAATGTAACACATGTATGGCATTACTTTAGTTTCTTTAAGTTGTAAATACTTGTGTCAAAGCTTACGTCAAATCCGAGAATATCACTTGTGTTAATAGGTTTTCAGTCTCAGGAAATAGTGTTCACTGCTAATGAAGATGGCAATATAGGGATACTACACTAGTAATTTTAACCCCTTCTCCGTTGTTATTAACAACCAGATAATGGTGGAAGAACTTGAATGTGAGTAATCGCCATACTAACTTGTGAGAGTTGCAGTCACTAGGCAATAACCCAGGAGGTATTATGGCACTAGGGTAATTGAGTACAGGTCCAATATAACATCTTTTAGAAAAGGGACTTCATAGATGCTTGGGAGTCATTTTCTCAGACAGTAATATGTATGTATGTATATATCCATGTCTGTTAAAAGAGCACATGAATCACTTGTATTAATTTATTACACACTCGAAGTCTTAAACTCTTTTCCCAAAGAAGATTTAACTGTAGCTGTCCAGGTTACAACTTTCATCTATATATAACTGATCAAGCTTTTGAACTTTAAGAAACTGAGTCAACCAAGTATTTTCAGTCTTGACATTTTCGTTTTTGATATAAGTCCAGTTTTTGAACCTTCTGGCTATCTTATTTTTGTTTTAAGCTTGTCCTGTTAGAAAGTCCCAACTCCCTCCATATAAACACAAATATACGATACCCTATAACCCAAGTACTTTCAAATTGGGCCTTTCTTTTTTTAGGGGAACATATTAGATATGTAAAAACGACTGCTATTCTTGGACAGAGATTTCTGTAATCTTCTAGAGATGTCAGTAACACTGTGAAATACCCTAGAGTGGAATGTCTCTAAATAGAGTGAGCAGAGGAAGACTAATTATACTATACACACAGATGTATATTTATATATCTTTGAAATACTAATTTTGTGTACATATGTATAATTAAAATAAGCTCAAAACATGCAGTGCAAAAAATTAGTATTTACACATATAAAAGGTACACTAAGTCATGTCCGGAAATATGATGTTTGCTGGTCTGTTTTTATACATGTACACATCATTGTGAAAGATTGTTTTATGTTTTATACGCCTCTTTGTTAAGGGGTATTATTATTATTCTATACAATGTGTATGTTAAAGGGCATTGCTTATCTTTCCAATCTAAGTATTGTGCTGTTAAATGTTTGGCCAAACCATGGGTATGAAATTTCCAGATACATGGTTGATTCGCGATATATTATTTTACCCCTTACAGGATTAAATTTAAAGTAGTGCGTAAATGAGACAGTCTGAAAGTAAAGGGGAGGAAAAAATACTGTATTTGAAAAAAAATTGTGTTTTTCCACTAAGGTGCACATATGTTGTAAACCCAATCCAAGGACACTTTTATATAAAAACAACAACATATACCTGTACTCACCATAATTCCAGATACAGGGAATACTGGAATAGCTTGCTGAATGAGTGCCAGTTGCATTTCTCTTCTCTAATGAATGTATCTGTTTTAAGGTGTTTTTGTTGGTAAAAAAAAAACAGGAAAAATTTCTCTAACATATTCAAGGTCGTAGCTATGGAAACTGCACCAGTGTCGTCACATGACGATGCTATGTCTAAGTTTATAGTAAGAATAAAATATGTCGAAATTTTTATTTCTAATGTATATCTGTTGCAGATTACATAATAAATTTAAGAAATTAAATGGAAGGTTGTTTTGGGATGATTTTTTCGACTAGGGGACACTTTCGGGAACATATTTATCCAAGGGACAATATTGCTTATCCGGGGAGTGTCCCGGGAAACGGAGGAGGTATGGTCACCCTAGCGATCATATGCTTATTCTCGAAGTTTTAAAAACGTGTTTTTTATGGTGTGTACATATTAGGTCGTCAAGAAATTAACGTCACGTTTTGGAACTCTTTCATTAATTCCCCCCCCCCCCAAAAAAAAAGTCATCACGTATAATACTTAAACGAACTGTCTTCTTATAGTGATGGTACACGACGAGACACACAATAA